ATTTATATCTGACCAGTTGGTATTTCAATATTATCATTGTTCTATTTTTAGAACATAAACTACATGTATGTACTAGAAGGTTCTTAACTGTTGTAGAAAACTCATGCATTATATTTAGATAGAAACTTCTGGAATGATCTTTATTGTTGAAGTTGCTAGATTATGATTACTTGAGAACATAATAGACCTTTCTGGAAACTTCTTAGTTAATATATATAAGGAGACATTTTTCATTAATCTTATCTTTAAGTCATCAGTTACCTTTTTTAGTCATCAGTGATCTTTTAAGTCATCAATATATTTGGAGTATTATTCAACTTGGAAATTAAGTGATTTATTGGAGCTTGGATTATTAATTATTCTTGTGGATTTTATTGTGGGAATTTATTCTAAAGTGTTCTTGGATTTAACTGTGCTATAGAAAAAGGATCATTCCAGGATCAGACTAGACATTTGTAATTTTTATTTGGACTTCAGGTATTTGTAAAGATAATTTTTATTTTATTTTTCTTTAATAATTTTTCTGTAATAAATTTGTTATTGTTACAAGTTTGTTGCTGGCTTTTCTTTCTCGTTACGCTTGGCTCGTAACACTAATGACAAGAGTTTCAATTAATTGTGCATACACATATGTGATTCTATTTATTTAAATAAAACTGTCAATCAATATGATATCATCAAATGTTTACCACAGACATATTACATGGTCCAAGAACAGAATATTTGGAACACTTTATCTTAACTAGCACCATGGGAAAGAAACATTGTTTCTATATTCATTAAATTTACCCCATGGCATTTGATATACTGTGAAGAAATTCTTAGTCTCGATTAACTGGTATTTTTAGATACTTATCAATAGTCACATACCTGAATAACATGTTTAGGAAAATGTGCCAATTCTGCCACATGGATTCCAAAACTCTGGTCACACACACCTGTAAATATTGTATTCATCATTTTATGATAATAACATAGAAATTACCGCAGTGAATACTTCACTGGAATCACTAGTATGAGTCTTGTATATTGCAATTTTACCATGAAAAGTTATCTCAATCTGTTCCTTTAAATTGATTTGGTCACTAAGGAAAACAATATTTATAACATGTTTTAACTAATCTGAAAACAATACAATTTTCGCGGTAACACATTGTGCCTTTCCTAAAACTGACGCCAATTTCATTTTTCGTTTGTGTAAAAATGAAGGATTTTACAAATTCTGAAAAAATATCAAACATGTATGTAATGGACTAACTAAATATCATAAAGAATGTTCTTTTATTTTAGCATCTATTTAGATATTTGTAATTATAATTCATGTTGATAAATGAAGTTGATTAACTACCCCAACACAATGAAAAGATATCATAATATAGTTTTACCGTTTTCATGTTTTGTCTTGAGAGACCGTTGTATTTAAATCTGGAAATAAATGATCCCTCAGAAGCTTAAGTACAACATTTTTAGTGTGTCCCTTGTGTGGTCACTTAATACAAGTTTGACTGTAGTGTATATGCTAGAGAAGTCAAATAAATTGGTTTAAAAAATACGGTAATTTCACCTGGTTTAACTCTGTACAGCAACGTTAATGTATCGTTACTAGTCAAGGCAGTTACATGTAGATTATTCACAGTGGGCACTTTATCAGCAAGGGCAGTTAACTCATGGAAGTGGGTGGCAAACAGACAGTAAGACTTCAACTGTGTCGCTATATTTCTGAAATAAATAATTGTAAAGAAATCTAAGCCATATTCATAAGTATCTATACATGCATTATTGAGTACATTTTTATATTTTATTACCATACTAGTACAAATTTTGAAATTATGGTACAGGAAGATTATCAAGACAGCCATTTAGAACTTAAAACCTTCATTATATATTTCAGAAGCATGACAAAACCCACAATTTGAAATTCTTTCATGTTAATTTACATACATGTTATTTTACAAAATGAACCATGAGACACACTTTCCACACATTAACAATTAAGTATTTTAAATATATTCGAAAAAGATACAATTATGCGGATGAAAGCCTAAATAACTTATAGATTTCTTCTAGTAAAATTTAAATGAACACACAGTGACACATTAAAACCAGTCTTTTACATTTTAAATTGTGTAACATAAATGGATTCTCCATGAAAAATTTGAATTAACAACACCTACTCTGAGATAGCCCATGCCAGCCCAAAACCATCATATGTTGATGTGCCTCTCCCTAACTCATCTATGATGATCAATGAATCCTCTGTTGCCGACTAGAAATAAATAAATTATTTACAATCATAACAAACTTCAAAACTGAGTTTTAATTATTAATCTACATCAATATTCTATGACTTAATATCACATTATAAAATTTCAGGTCAAGCTAGCTTACAGAATGTCATTGGTTCTAGTCGCTCTACGCAGTTGACCAATTAAAAGTTCAATTCTTAAAAAAAAATCTATATCTTATGGGTCGACATGTTCCGACAGTCTTTTATAACATACCGGTAGATCGTTTTTATATTGAACCATAAACATTTTTCATTATCAATTATTGGTCAATCATCATTATAATAGTCAATCTTTTGAAATAAATTACTTATTCAACTAAATTTGACAGCGAAATAATGAGCATAATGTCACTTGAAATAATGCAAGGGAGGGCATCCAATTTTCTTTCTCTACCAGTAAAGCTGGAAAATTCAAAATGTGACCTTTACAGTGCTGCTGCAGCATTAAACATTTTCTTTTTGCATAAAGAATAAAAACACAAATATATAAATTTTAAAAGTAACCTGATGTTAAAATTTAAGAGCAACATTTTGCAAAAACCAGGGATTCTGCATGCAACTTGGGCTTACAAAGTTCACTTTGAGAGATGACAATAAAGTTTTAAATGATGTCTATAAGGAGTCATTAACGCCTTATAACAGCTTTAATTCTAATTGTGCGAGATAGTTAACATATTCTTCTCTAATTTTGGAAAAAAAACACCCAAAAAACACAACTTCAAATACCAATATACAATGTAAAACAATTTTGACATAAAATTACTTCAAAGGGCCAAACATCAAATTGACAAATCAAAATGTTTAATGTCAACATAGGATCACATAGCACCTTAAGAATATACAAAGAAACATAAACTTTGGCAGCTTACCCTCAGTATAGAAGCTGTTTCTAACATTTCTGCCATAAATGTGGACACACCCTTCAGTTGACTGTCCCCAGCACCCACTCTTGCAAGTATACTGTCAACTATAGTGACCTCAGCCTCGTTACATGGCACAAAACATCCCAGTTGACACATCAGCACAGTAACACCAATCTAGCAAAATATAGTAAGATATAAGCTATTTTTTTTTTATTCTAAATCGTTAACATGCTAATGAAAATGATAGGACCTTGCCACCAGTATGGAATAAAGTCAACCACCAATACTGTTCAGTCAAGTCTTTGAGATGATTAGGTTTGATTGCAATTTACTGTATCACCAAAAGTCATATCACCACCAAAACAAGAGGGCCATGATGGCCCTGAGGTCGCTCACCTGTATATAGGCCCCCGGAGCAGGGCCAGTTTAAACCCCAGGGCTTTTATTTGAACAAACTTGGAAGACACTCATTTGAAGATGTTTCACAATGTTAAGCTTTTACTACACACATGTAATAAAAAACAATGATCTCAACCCTCTGTCCCCCCCCCCCCGGCAGGGCCAATTTTCACCCAAGGGCTTTTATTTGAACAAACTTGGTAGTCATCCATAAGAAGATATTTCATGCTAAACATCTAAGCTCTAGTTCATTGGGTTTTTTAAAAGAAGATATTGTAAGTTTTTACTACACACATATAGTTAAAAACAGTGACACCCCTGGGGCGGGGCCAGTTTTGACCCCGGGGCTTGTATTTGAACAAACTTTGTAGACACTTATTAGAAGATGTTTCAAGCTTAATATCTAACTCTAGCTATTTGGGTTTTTTCAAAGAAGACTTTTTAAGTTTTTACTATATGCATATATAGGGAAAATCAAGACCCCCCGGGGCGGGGCCAATTTTGACCACAGGACTATTATTTGAACAAACTTTGTAGACACTCACTAGAAGATGTTTCATGCTTAATATCTAAACTCTAGCTATTTGGGTTTTTTCAAAGAAGATTATTTAAGTTTTTGCTATACACATGTAAGGAAAATCAATGACCCCCTGGGCGGGGCCAATTTTGACCCCAGGGCTTTTATTTGAACAAACTAAGTAGACACACATTAGAAGATGTTTCATGCTGAATATCTTAGCTCTAGCTCTTTGAGTTCTTTCAAAGAAGATTTTGTAAGTTTTTACTATATGCATATAGGGAAAATCAATGACCCCCTGGGGCGGGGCCAATTTTGACCCCAGGGCTTTTATTTGAACAAACTTGGTTCACACTCATTAGAAGATGTTTCATGCTGAATATCTTAGCTCTAGCTCTTTGGGTTCTTTAAAAGAAGAATTTTTAAGTTTTTACTAAATGCATATAGGGAAAATCAATGACCCCCTGGGGCAGGGCCAATTTTGACCCCAGGGATTTTTTTTAACAAACTTGGTACACACTCATTAGAAAATGTTTCATGCTGAATATCTTAGCTCTAGCTCTTTGGGTTCTTTAAAAGAAGAATTTTTAAGTTTTTACTATATGCATTTAGGGAAAATCAATGACCCCCTGGGGCGGGGCCAATTTTGACCCCAGGGATTTTTTTTGAACAAACTTGGTAGACACTCACTAGAAGATGTTCCATGCCAAATATCTAAGCTCTAGCTCTTAGGGTTTTTTAAAAGAAGATATTTAAAGTTTTTTCTTTCGGTTGCCATGGCAACCAGAGTTCTGCATGGAATTAAATTCTTTGAACAATTTTTAAAGGTGACCACCAAAGGAACATTCCTGTGAAGTTTGGATGAAATAGGCTTAGTGGTTTATGAGGAGATGTCATTTAAAGTAAAAGTTTACGGACGGACGACGGATGGACGACGGACGGACGGACGCCGGACGAAAAGCGATCACAAAAGCTCACCCTGTCACTTTGTGACAGGTGAGCTAAAAATATTAAATGTTGTCTGTAGTTTTGATTTCCTAAGTTCTGCAGCCTTTGCAAAAGTATAGAAATTCAAAATGGCCACCAATATGACTGCCAATAACAACAAAATATCATATAATAGTTAAAATGTCTATTTAAGTTTATATATGAAAGCTAAATGCTAATTTGAACGATATACTAAATTAATAATGAGATCTATGATTTACTTACTGAGCGAATGTATGTAGATTTCCCTCCCATGTTCGGTCCAGTTATAATGTGAAACATCTGTTTATCTGAATCCAAATTAATAATATTTTTTCAGTCATGTTTGCTACAATTATTGTCCGCAAATACTTTCTTTCTTTTTTTCATGATGAGGATTTATAACTTTATTATTGTTACTCCTTTTATCAAATCTACGCTGAATGCAAAAATGCATGTTATATGCTTCGAAAACATCATAATAACCTATCCAAATTAAGTGACCCCACCTACCACATTCTAAAAAGTTTGAAAACAAAAATTGAAATTATTTACCACATTCCATTAATTTTGGTTCTTGGCAAAATCAAAGAAGTAATATTACATTAAAATAGAAATTTAAATATATAAGTTTATAAGATTAAATGAACAAAACACCATTCCAAAAATAATGCTTTGCTTTTAAATGCTCATTAGAATGGTTTAGAACTGGTATCAAACAAATATTTTCAACCTTTACTTGATTTATTTGTAAATTCCATTTCACTGTCAATTTCATGTTTTTATAAAATACAATATAAAAGCTGCACAGAAAGTCAATTCTTAACATTTTATTTTGGTAGGGTTTTAAACCAAACTGACTCTTTTTTCAGCTAATTGGTTGATGAAGACCTCAGGTGCCCAACTGTACATCATTTCGGACACACACATACAGGCACCTCAGTAAAGCCACCTAAGTTCCATAAGCAAACCTGATCATACCATATTGATAACTTTTAAAATGTATAAATTATGTGCTTCATTAAAGTTTTTCCATGACAACTGCCACAATGATGACGACAAAGACGACAGAGATTGTAATAGCTTGTCTTTTTCTTTTAAACAGACGAGCTACCAGTAAAGAGTTCTTGTGATACCTACCTTTTTCAAACTGTATATCATTAGGTATAAATGCTATATCATCTTGCATCTCTAGACATGGGTGTCTCGTTTCCTTCAATTTTATAATACCACTACCTGAAATAATATAGCAAACTTTCATGATATCTTAATAGCCTCTGAATAACTTATATTTGTGAAAACTTTTGCAAAAATAAATTTTACTGCATTGTGGTCAAATGAAGGTTCAGCCTTTTTTCCTCTATAAGTGGTACTAAAGAATGGCCCCATTCACTGATTGACGTTCACAATTTTCAGACAGGGTCCAAAAAACCTGTTCACCATTCTGATGAAATAGTCATGTTTAGAACTGACCAATTAATTCTATGATTATATCTTAAATAATGCTTAAACTCTCAATTGTACTTGCATCAATATATTGCTTTTTAAATGCATTTTACTGACTGCTGACACTCCCATACATTTTCATGATTATGTCTAGCTTTTCGTAATGGTGTGAGAAAGATAGCTTATGGTTATATTCAAGTACAGACTATTTTGGACAAATAAAGCAAAGCAAGTGTCTTGATATTTCAACAATTTGAAAACGATTCACTTTTTTTGTGAGGGGGGGGGGGGGGGGTGAGTTGTTCTACACCCTTAATCATGTTTTTGCATTTGATCCATTTACAATTGAAATACCTGCACAGCTGAAGGATTTAAGTTTTATTGGGTTTTTTTTTTTTTTTTAAACAAAATACTTTCTCTTTACCTTTTTCCAGTACAGTAGGTCTAACATACGGTATTGGAGCACATGTTGTCACCTGGGAGAAACTCACCAATACATCTAACTGTGCCAATATGTCATTAATTATCAACATAGGTTCTACATATCCAGCTGAAATATGCAAAAATGTCATTATCATAAACAGTTTAGTTTAACAGAGACACAGCAATAGTGATAAATATCATTGTACGCTCCTTAACATGTAAAGAATACTAGATGGCCATGATAATAAAAATTTTAAAATTCTTTTGCCAAGAAATCTTTTTAACCATGAACAACACAGTGATGGGAATCATGAAATAGTGAGTAATACAAAACTATTGGGATTTATTTTTGAACTCTCAAAATAATTTGAAAAATCCTAATGCAGCATGAATATCTGTAAGTTAACATAATAAAATGCCATAATAATGTTATAAGGATTTACACAAGCAAGCAAATAAAACAAAACGATAAACTATATTCCTCACTGATGGAAGTCAGATTACGGTAAAAGTGGTAAGACAACATTTGATCATAAATTGTAAAATAGGAAAAATCTCAGGTGCTGCTACATGTATCCTTTCAAGCCCTTGCACTTGAGAAAAACTACAAACTGAACATATACTAATTGAATAGCTTGCTATTATTATCTTATTCAATTACCAACTTCTCCACATGCGTAGAACCATTAAAGGTTTGAAAAATCAACCACCAAAACAAATATTGGTTAAAATATTACCTGCAATTCCAATAACCTCGTTCACCACACTTTTCTGTTGTTCACCGTACTCTTCCTTCGCCTCAAGGTAATCTGTATTAAGTTCTCTCACTGCCTTGTTATGGAACCTCACACCATTGGTCTTTGTATCTATGGTGATATAATTCTTGTTGTTTCTTAAAACTTTCTCCTCCTGTGTCAAAATAAATAATACTTGGTTTAAACATGATATTTTATCGAACAATGTTTGCAAACTAGTACCATTTAAGATAAAAAAATATTGATTTGGAAAACAAGTATGTTCTGTTATATAAGGTAAAAAAAAATAATACTTTGGAAAACAAGCACGTAAGTTCTCTTCTTTAAGGTAAAAATAATTATTTTGAAAACAAGTATGTAAGTTCTCTTCTGTCACAGTGACAGAACTGTTTCATCATATTTTAATTTTATTTAATATATATTTATTCAGGTTATATAATCATTTATATTTGTTAATACTGTATCTATAGAACAAGAAATAACTTACCTTTAAGGTCACTCTAAAGAAATATCCTAACTGAGCATTGCTTTCTAACTTCAACACTTTGTTGGGCTCTAAACCAAGATCCCTGGCAACCTATAAGTTACACCATAAAGTTAAAAACACATGAAACAAATATAACACAAGTTCTTAATTCATCAAATCAAATATCTTGTACATTTTTATTCTGCGACACACATTACAGTTAAATTGGACTGACAACAGATATAAACAGATACCATAGAACTTCAGTAAGTTGATGGGTAAAAAGTCAAAACATCAAGACTTCAACTCATGAAAAGGTCTCAATTTAATGACAAAATTTCAAACTGTCAACGCTTACAAGTGAATTAAAAAATGCGAAACATAAGCTTACAGTAATATATATATATAAATGTAAAAGGTATGAAAAATATTTTGAGATTGAAGGTGTCAAATTAATCAATGGACTTAGACTTGTCTATGACAGAATGTTTTCCAATTTTTTATTAATTTCAAGATCATGTTCAAACTCATTTAGTCCCCTCTTACCATCATGCAGAGATATACGGTGGCTGCAAACCCCTCAGCCACAAAGGTGTAATTTTTAGATAAAGTTACTCCTACATGATGTGTAACATACATACCTTGTTAAGTTGACCTTTAATATTGTCCTCTAACTTGTCCATTTTTTCTTTTAACGCTGTCAGACCCTCATCAAAGTCGGCTTTTATGACAAACTCGTGGTTCTCAACTTGATCAAGATCCATGGTGGCTTCAACCATCTCTTGAAACTTGGCAAAGTCCATTAACAGCTCCTGTGTACATAAATCAGTTAAAAAGTTCAGACAAATCGAAGGCTAGGGGCCTTGATAAATTTGTTTACTGTAATATTTCTTACTTACATATCAAAATGACCCTTGTTAGATATATTTGAAATAGAAAATAATAATGGTATGTAATAAGTTAACAATATTACAATTAAGAAATATATGCAATTTAACATAAGCATACACACATTTTTCAGATAAATTATGCCTTGAAAGGATTACAGTCAAGAAAAAAAACATTGTTAACAAAGATAAATGCTCCAAGACAAAGCTTTAATCGTGAGGTAAGGAAAAGTAGAAAAATCTCTTCTTGAGTGACCTTGACACAATAAACATATACTGAAATTTAAGTCCAGAAGGTGCAATGAAACAGGTGGAAGGACAGAGGGAAGGACAATTGACCTGACATTTACACTCGTATACTAAGTAACATCTTACAAGAAGAAAAATACAATATCGCTTACTGAAGTATGGGAATATAAACAGTATAAAATTTAACTCAATGACAATTATCCTACATTTATCCTGTTGTATACACACACTGTACCTTAAGAGGATTGCTGAAAATGTCCATGAGTAGTGATTTATGCTGACTGTCAGTTTTCTCTAATGTTTCCAGTAGATATGGCATCTTATCTATTGCCTGATAAACTCTGTACACATCCTGCAAGGACAAATACAATACATTTTCTATAATTCCTTAGTTTAGGAAAGGAAAAGCATACATATATTTTGACCATCTTTTAATCAAACTATTGAAAGTTTCAAAATAAAATCATAAGATATACTAAGCTCATCTTTGGGTAAAATACTTTTATTGCAGAAAATTATTGAAATCTAGTAAATTCTATCTGAATACGTCTAATTTGAATAAGTGAATGTATAAACATTGTTTGAAAAGCTGCATTCCCTATTACTTGTTATACTAATGTGGTCTATTCTAATTAAAACTGCCAGTTTTTTTATTGACACTATGTAATCATACTGTGATTACCTGCAGTGTATAGAGTTTAAAACAGAACATATTTTCTGTGTGTGTATTCAAAAGATGTTTATTTTACATTAAAAAGAGACTGTATAGTAATTATCTTTTTTTTTCGAATACAAATTTGGGGATAATATATCTCTATTTACTGAATATCTTTTAATAAACTAATGTTGAACAAGAATTTGTTATGGTAATTTTATTACATAATCATTTTAAACCAGAAAACATTTTAACAGTAGTCTAGACTTTGAATGTATTCTATTTAAACATAATGACTCATCTTGGCTTTCTTGTGGCCAAATAATGTAACTGACTAATTCCAAAACCTTAAATATCAAATATTACATACTGCTCACATCAATGCTAGAGCCAAAAGAGGCACATACAATATCTAGTTAACAGACTCATCAATAGGGCAATACAATTTTCATAAGTATCATTTAAAGTAACTTAATTAGTTACTTAACGTAACCCCCTATGTGTGAAAATAAACCATATGTAGCCATCTATAATTATTCTACAACCAACAAACTCAAGTCAGTTAACACTCATATAGTCTAACATCATATTTCAGCTAGCTTAGCTCAATCGGGAAAGCTTTAGATATGAAATCCAGGGCTTGCTGATTTGATTCTCAAGCAAGACGAACTTTCTCTGTGACAATTTGTCTTGGACATAGAGTCTAAAGGTCATTTGTCTCTCACCACTGATTCAGAAATCATGACAGTCAGTAGTTGATCACAAGCAAAGAAATCGGTAATTATCTAGGAAAACTGGTGAGTTGTGCTGATCACCTTGATATGTCCAAAAATAAGCATAAAATCCAATCAGTTCAAAAATAAGCATTAAATCCAATCAATCGAACAAACTAACATCACATATTAAAACCATGTATCATGCAAAAAGATAATAATATTTGAATTTCTTCTATTAAGGATTTTAAACTTTTAACAATGTCATTAAATTGTTATATTCATATGAAATCAAAGTTTACAAATAACATTACATGTACCTGTAATGAAGCTTTTTTCCTCTGGAATTTTTTAGCTAATCTCTGGAAATCTGGTATCCTTCTTAATTGATCTTCAAACAACATCTGTCTAAGCTCTGTATCTTCAACAAATGCCTCAACAATGTTTAGCCTCTCCTCTGCGTAAAATTTACACAAATATTTGATACAAGGTGGCTAATCAAAAAGAATGTTCAATAAACATACTGTGATACACTATACAGGCATTTTCAAAAGCTTATAATAATAAGTTAATTTCCATAGATGTATATCCTCAAAATTTGTTGGCGGATCTTAACTTGATTACAAATTAACAGCTTATACCTATTCTATTTTTATCCACCAATGGTTGTTTGACCCAGTGACCTAGTAACCTTTGACCTTGTGCAGTGCGACATCTATTTAGAAGACCAAGTAGACACTGATTCTTGTTGCCTCCTGAATAAATATAAGAGTATCATGTCAGGAAAAAATCATAACAATGTAATACATGCTAAATGCAGCCTTCAGCTTTTTCTTTTTTTTTGCTGGAAAAACAATTCTATGTTGTTTTAAACTACATGTAAATATTTCAGTAATTTTATCCATATCACTATTAAGCCTTCTTCAAACAAGCGTCCTAAGAGCTATTTACAGCGAGCCAGTGACATTTGTTTCTAAAGATAAAATAAGAGAAATTTGGAAAAGCTTTCAAATTTAGATATAGAGAGCAAAGGTATCAAAGGGTTTCCTTATTGTTTATGTATTTTATCAATGACAAATTTTATTTTCCACCTTAATTCTTTGGATTTGATAATTATATGAAATAATTTATCTAAAAATAACTTATTCAACCTTTAGAAAAGCTTTAGGCCACTTTAACTTTATTATGACTTCACACAATATCATTACTGAGACTGGACTTTCTAGTGTCTGCATTAATTCTTTACAAACCCTTAGATTTAAGATGGATTAGGTATTTTAAATGATGTCAATCCACCCCAATAGTGACCGGTTCTTAGAAAGATTTTTGATTTTCCTGCCAATATGCATGAAGTTGTAAAATCACATACTACTATAAGAAAACAAGAGCCATGTCAACATGGCCATCCCCCGCCGAATGTGTTTGCTCATTGGAAGAATGTATATGTATTAGAGCAGAATAATTCCATTTTAAGAGGTCTTTTGGTAATGAAAACTGATGGCTATAGTGATTACAGATTTGAAACCTATGTGAATACTGATGGCTGAAAATAACAAAGGGCAATTACTGAAAAATAATGCAGGGTAGGTTATCATTCTTGTGTGCTGCATCCCTCCTCAGTAAAATCTATCCACCTATGAAGTTTCAATTTGATACCTCAAATACTTTTTGAGAAAAAAATTGAATTGAAAAATTAAGTATGAAAAAGAACAAAGGGCAATAACTCAAAAATTATAAAAGGTAGAGTTATCATTCTTGTGCAGTGCACACCTCCTGAGTGAGATCTATGCACCTATGAAGTTTCATTTTAATATCTCAAAGGCTTTTTGAGATATGCTCTGGACAAAAATTAATTTTGAAAAATAACAAAGGGCAATAACTCAAAAATAATGCAGGGTAGAGTTATCATTCTTAAGCACTGCACTCCTCCTCAATGAGATCCATCCACCTTTGAAGTTTCAAGTTGATACCTCAAATACTTTTTTAGATAAGCTCTGGACAAAATAGCATGGAAAAAAACAAAGGGCAATAACTCAAAAATTGTATAGGGAAGAGTTATCATTCTTGCACACAACATTCCTCCTCAATAAGATCTATCCACCTATGACATTTCATGTTGATATCTCAAACACTTTTTGAGTTATGCCCCACTCAGGTGAAAAATTAGGTATGAAAAATAACAAAGGGCAATAATCAAAAATTATGAAAGGTAGAGTTATCATTCTTGTGCATTGCACACCTCCTGAGTGAGATCTATGCACCTATGAAGTTTCATTTTAATATCTCATAGGCTTTTGGAGTTATGCTCTGGACAAAAATCAATTTTGAAAAATAACAAAGGGCAATAACTCAAAAATCATGCAAGGTAGAGTTATCATTCTTTTGCACTGCACTCCTCCTCAATGAGGTCTATCCACCTATGAAGTTTCAAGTTGATAACTCAAATACTTTTTAGAGATATGCTCCGGACAAAAATGTCGGACGGACGGACGGATGGAAGGACGGAAGGTCGGACGGACGGAGACTACTTCTATATCCTCCGCCAAAATTTTCAGCGGGGGATAATAACGTTATATAACAAAACTAGATTTCTTTATATCTTTTTAAACTTTTATTCAGAAGTGTTTAGAATATCCAAGAAAATGAATCAAATATGGGCTAAAGTCACAGAACAAAGTATTCTAGCTAGGTTATCTCAAGCCTCATTGTTACCTTAACATGTCATCCTAAGCATGCAGTTTCATTCTTAAATATGCCAAAATGACATCATTTTAATACAGCTCATTGATAAAATGCGCAAAAATGACGCAGATGTATAGCATGCGACTCATCTGGCACGCCCTATGCCAGATGAAATTACAAGCATGGGTTAAGCAAACACCAGTTTGATATGCAAGAATATTCATTCCTTTATCATGTTCTCTTCATGTATGTCAAAATTGAACTGTTACAAATTGCCTAAAACTTTTTTTTTTCATAAATTATTACTATTGTAAAATTGTGAAATTTACTTTTCAATGATTGTGAATTTAAGTCTAGCCATGTAATGAAAATGCAGGACTCTCACAAAATGCTAATAATATTTTAGACAAACCTTTCAATATGGTAAAAAAAAACTACTTTTACAGAGCAATAAAAATATTTTTAACTGGTAAAAAAGCATTATATTACTTAAAAGTGAAACAAATGTCATTGACATTAAATTTTTTTTTCTACCTTCAGTAGAGCTAGGGAGTAGATTCAGGGCTCGAACAGCGGCAGCATCAAGTCTCATATACTGACCAAGGTCAAAGGTCGACAATGTAAACTGACCAAAATTACTCTCATCCGATAGAAGCTGAAATACAAATTATTCTTAATTGTTTACACGAGTTAAACAACACAATATAGCATTCATTGCTACTACATTTTAAATTCAGATTTTTTTTATAAGAAACTTTTTTTCTTTTGCTACTACATTTTGAATTCAGATGTTTTAAAAGAAACTTTTTTCTTTTAACATGTTACAATGTTTGCGTAATTTGACAATGTAATCTTTTGATAACTATTTGCATTTTATGCATTATTATAATTATAATTGATAATGTAAAGTTTTATTTGCATTAAAATTCTTTTTCAAACTTGTATTTGCCTTTATGGTTATTGCATAGCATGGAATTGTTGTTGTTGTTTTATATTTACTTATTTCAATAAATCTTTGATCTGCATTCAAAAAATGCAAGAATTTCATAACTTTGTAAACTACTTTGTACAAATAAAATGTTTGGTATTTGGTTTGATCCATCAAACTTCAAAGATATTTTCACACTTTGATAAAACAACAATGTACACATGATTGGGACTTGACCAATTGACCATGTCATGCAATGATTAGCTCAAAGGGGATAAGTTTGCTTCTAACAATAAACTGGTTCACAGTTTATTCTGATGATCAATCAAGTACTGTAATTACTGTAAGAACACTGGTCACTACCACACATTTGGACCAATCAAATAGCCTATGTCAAATTTGAGATTATTCCATGCAATTTAATCATCAACAAATCAAACTGTAGGTACTTTTTTGGAGCATATAAATGTTGAAAAATTGCATTATTATAGTTATTCTGTGGAAAATCTATTGAAGAGTGCCTAAGTTTATTTATATATCGGTTTAAAAATCAACTGAAATGACAGGTAAATAATCTTAGAAAAAAAGATAAATATAAGACTATTGAAATGTTAAATTAAATCTAACTTTCTTGGGTCATTGTTAAAAAATATTTGCATAAGATGCATGTAAACCAATAAAATTCTACTTAAATTGGTTTATTTTAATCTTTGTTTTTTTTTTTACATATTTGGTCAGTTTAATTTATTATACATGTTGAACACTAGGTACTAACTGCTCAAGGTGACTTATTTACATGTAACCTTTACAATCAAGTGAAAATAAATATATCAAGAATAATCTACTGTTCTTTTCTTTCTTTTAATCTACATGTATATCAACTCTATATGTTTTGTGTTTACATGAAATTAACAAGAAGGAACCACACATCAAATTTTTGTTTGTTTTGTGTTAAAAAAAACAACAAGTAAAGTAACGTTAATAAACCATACATTGTATATTATATTAATGTAAAAAATCATTTGTTTTTTTATTTTTTTAGTAACAAAAAGACTGATGCAGGCTGAACGGGAGAAATTCATCTCATGGGCGGAAGATTTTGCTAAAGAAAAGTTCCAAAAGAGTGTAAAACATCATGTATGGAAACAATTCAATAAGGACAACGGAATTCTAGAGAAGATATTTCACTTAACAAGAAATTACATACTTGAATTTGACTGGAATGAAATAAAGGTAGACTTCTTAGGATTTGCAGACGTAAAAGGACGGGCAATTAAACTAAATGGAGAGAACTTGCGTGTTAATGTACACAAAGAGTCAAAACACAATTACACAGAATGTGTGTATACACAATATGCAGACATAGTTGGAATTGTGGGATTTAGCTTTGTTAATGATAACTTCTCGGTAGCGATTAAACACAAGAGATCAAAGAAAAGTGTAGCGATGTATAAAATTAAAGATTTAACAGAAATCATTGAAGGTAGTACTATTGCAGACAAAACATCAGACGACAGTGTACATGTCATGGTGATTTTTGGAAACCTGAATCATTTAAGAAGTAATAACTTCAAACAGGACAAAAGCAGATGAAATCACAAATACATGGTTACAGTTCGCTAATATGTGTAATGGAATTTCGTATTTCAGAATGAAATCTTCAATAACTGAGGAATTTTCAGGATCCTCTGCTAAATCAAGAAATGACTGAATAGAATGTTGTATATTAGAATTAAATCTACAACAACTGGGAATTATTCAAGTTCCTCGGTAAAATAATCAGACAAAGGATTTATTACATAATCTGGATTAGGAAAACTTTTCCTAATTTAAACCAAAAAATATTATTATCATCATTTTAATTAGTCATTGTTAAACAATTGTTTGTTATATTGTTATAGTCTGTTTAAAGATAAATATATCATTAAAGTCTTATCTTTTATGTTGTTTTTTCTTTTTATTTCTTCATTCAAAACAGTATACCTTACAACAAAATCAAATGCCTAGTATTTTCAATATCTACAAGTGTCTAAGATACTGTTTACTTAAAATGCTAACGTTTTAAAATTATGTGTATCTTTCATTATTCTATATTTAATTACAATGTAGTTATTAGTCACAGAAAGACAGATGAAAAGCAAACGATCAGCTTTAAGTTACCATGTTGTTAGAATATATCTGACCTGAGACAAAATATAACGGGACAAGAAACTACCTTCAAGATAAGCAGTCCTATGTTGGCATCCAATAGAATCTGATGTCATCCCTAACTTGGCAAATGTATATTCTTCCATGCTCATCCCCCGGTACAAACAAACTTTTACTGTTATAGCTTCACTATCGGTCACAAAAGATTAGTCAACCTGTTGTGCTTTATTTCGAAGCTGTAACTGTAAAAGTTTGTTTGTACCCCTGGAGAAAAGCTGGGAAAAACCCAAATATTCTTAAGTCCGGAGTAAGTTCGTTTGTAAACTGATTGACTGATAAACATAGTATAAGTATGTAATTCCTTTATTTATATTGTTATTATGAAAAACAAGAACCGGTTGAACCGGGTGATGCTCCCCGAGAAGGTTCTGGACACAGGAAAGTATAAAAAAAATGAACAAAGGGCAAAAACTCCAAAATAAGGCAAAGCGGAGTTATGTTTTTTTGCACTGCACTTCTATTCAATGAGATCTATCTATCTATAAAGTTTCCTGATGATATCAGAATTATGTCCCAGGTAAAAGTCAAAGTGTAAAAATGAACAAAGGGCAATAACTCCAAAATTAGACGAGGCTTTGTTTAGGTTCTTTAAGCATTGCAGTTCTATCCAATTATATCTAGCTACCTACAAAGTTTCATGTTGATATCTCTAATAGTTTTAAAGTATTGTCCAGGACAAAGTCAAAAAGTAAAAATAAACAAAGGGCAATTACTTCAAAATAAGGCAAGGCAGAGTTACGGTTCTTGTGCACTGCACTTCCACCCAATGAGACCTATCTATCTACAAAGTTTCATGTTGATATCTCTTATACTTTTAGAGTAATGTCCCAGACAAAGTCAAAGTGTCAAAATGAACAAAGGGCAATAACTCCAAAAGTAGGCAAGGCAGAGTTACCGTTCTTGTGCACTGCACACCTACTCAATGAGATCTATCTACCTACAAAGTTTCATGTTGATACCTCTTATACTTTTAGAGTTATGTCCCGGACAAAGATCAAAGTGTAAAATAAACAAAGGGGGATAATTCAAAAATAAGACAAGGCAGAGTTACCGTTCTTGTGCACTGCACACCTACTCACTGAGATCTATCTACCTACAAAGTTTCATGTTGATACCTCTTATACTTTTAGAGTTATGTCCCGGACAAATTTCAAAGTGTAAAATAAACAAAGGGGGTAATTCAAAAATTAGGCAAGATAGAGTTACGGTTCTTGTGCACTGCACACCTACTCAATGAGATCTATCTACCTACAAAGTTTCATGTTGATACCTCTTATACTTTTAGAGTTATGTCCCGTACAAAGTTCAATGTGTTAAAAAAAACAAAGGGGGATAATTCAAAAATTAGGAAAGGCAGAGTTTAGATTCTTGTACACTGTACATCTACTTAATGAAATCTATCTACCTACAAAGTTTCATGTTGATACCTCGTATACTTTTAGGGTTATGTCCCGGACAAAGTTCAAAGTGTTAAATAAACAAAGGGGGATAATTCAAAAATTAGGAAAGGCAGAGTTATGGTTTTTGTACACTGCACACCTACTCAATGAGATCTATCTACCTACAAAGTTTCATGTTGATACCTCTTATACTTTTAGAGTTATGTCCCGGACAAAGTTCAAAGTGTAAAAATAAACAAAGGGGAATAATTCAAAAATTAGGCAAGGCAGAGTTACGGTTCTTGTGCACTGCACACCTACTCAATGAGATCTATCTACCTACAAAGTTTCATGTTGATACCTCTTGTTGTTTCAAAGTTATGTCCCGGACAAGAAAAGGGGACGGACGGACGGACGTTCTCACAGGACAGTAATTATGTGGCTACTCTATTGTTCTCTCTATTGTTCTTTTTAGCCACGCAAAAGAAAATAGCCACATAAAAGCATTACGGAATGAATGACATCAAAGAGAACCTATTGTCCCTCTAGCCACATAATTACTCTCCTGTGAGTGCGGACGGGACGGACGGACGGACGGACGGACGGACGGACAAGGCGGCGACTATATGCTCCCCCGAAATTTTTTCGGGGAGCATAATTAGACAGATGAACACAATTTCGTGTGGATGCAAAGTTTCAAAAAATGTGGATTTTTTGGACGCTTGCTTTTTCTAAGTAGGGAGTCCTGTCTGACAGGAATTTGGTAATCAGTACCAAATTGTGTTCAAATTTATACTGTCGATCTATTGACAATACATTGAGTTTTTGTTGATATTTTACATTGCTTTTACTGTTCAACAAAGACTGTTACCGACTTACTGCACCATCAAGAAATTAAACCTGGTTCGCCCGATTTATATTCCAATGCTCTTCCTATTGAGCTAACAGCCTAACAGAGTGGATTTCTTTTTTGTTTGCTCTAACTTATCAATGCAGAGAGAGGCACCTGACATACTTCTCCTCCAGGAAAAACCTGCAAATAATACTGTTTTTCAAGGTAAACTTACTTCAAGGTATTTGATAATTGCTGACAAGGCTGCCATGGCATGCTGTTTGTCCACTTCAGCTGTAGAGAAAATAGATCATCATAGATTGAAGATTCAAAGGTAGTTTCTGATCAATCAAAAGCAATAATAACCTTAACCCATTACTTTATAGGCAATTGACTAGATAGGCTTTATATACGGATTGGTGATCTTATCAGTTTAAACCACTGTATGTACCTGATAACAGTGTACACTCCATTTCCATATAGATATAAACAATTCTTTGGAATTAAATTAAATATCGATTTTTTTATGATTCTTAACCCAGTGTAAGTGAAAATCATAGCAACTCTTTTCATCTTGGGGTCATTTTGCACAATAAAAATTATTACTCTTGGAAAGCAGGGTTGAGGAAAATGATCTGAAAATTTGTACACAAGTCATTGGTGCAGACTTAACATCAAATTGTCAACAAATTTCTGACAAATATTTCCAGTCCTGTCCTGCCTTAAAAACCTCAGTGGAGTCCCTTTAAAATCACACCGATACTGCAAAATCATTTGAAATGACCTTCCTGCTTTATCAGGTGAGAGGGTATACTACCTCTTCCATTCATGTCATAAGCTGGAGAATTCACCACTGAGTGTCTTAACTAGTTGTTTAATTGCATTAAAAATTGCTTCCTTTTTTCCTCCGGAATATCATTAACTAACCTAAAGATGCAGCATTTCCTTGTTCACCTTTCTTCATTTTCAGCAGACGATTCAGATCTTGGACAGCATCTTTGTTTGTAAATTCACCTGTAAAATTGTATATGTCGAACTTTAAGATCTATTCTACATACTTTTAAATTAACATTTTTGTGCCAACGTCTGTGATATTTTGAGCCAAAAATGTGAATATGGCAGAGAGCTGCCTGCCTGAAAATATTCACTCATATTCACACTAACTTCGACCATAAAAAGAAATGCTTTATATTGCTTCCCATACAGTGAAATATCAATGTTGCATAGCTCAAATGGTTAGAGCGCGGAGCTTGTATTCTCAACATTGAGAGTTTGATACCTGGGCTGTCCAACTAAAACTACTTAAAAGTCTTTCGGATGCGACTTTAAATCAAGGTCCCATGTATTAGTGCTGAAAAATTTTGCATGTTAAAGAATCCAGAGAAGCTCCTAGAATTGGGGCATCTTTCTGTATCTTCACTATTTCCCAAAATCTAAAATGACTAATACTCTTTTGGAGGACTTGCCCATATGGGCAACCGATGGCAAGTATAAATAAACTCAAGAACACACACACTTAAATGAGACTGTTCATGAACAGCAGTAATAAGTACAATTTCACTGCTCTTAAGAAAGTTTTATGCTTGCTTTAAAATATAAGCAGGGCTAGCACTGGCAGATTTTTTCTTTGAGCCAATTTTTCGCGGCGAAAATTGCGTGCCTGTATTTTATTTTCAAGAAGGCAATGGTACTGCAAAATAACCAGAATTCAATTGTCAGACTTATTTATAGCATTAGTTCATATATGGAACACCTTAAAAAGGCATGAGATATTTAAAAAAAAAACCATAAACTACATGTATATCCAACTTTATTTTGGTAGCTACATTTTAATCACTTTAAAACTGATCATAAAAGCTTGCAGCTCAGTAGCTATAAGAATAACATTTTCCAGGCTAATTTGGTCAGCAATGTTTTCATAAAATCTAAGTTAGTGGCATGACAGTGACATCAGAACCACATTCCAATGTGCTGCTTCAGCTTGCTTGGTTAATGCCAAAGATTTGGTTTGAGGACTATCTGTATCTGAAATTATAAAAACAGAAACATTTGAGAGTAAGAAGAATAATTATTAATGAAGAAAAGAATATTGAAAAGTTCTAAACTAAACATAATTCAGGAAAAAAAATGCCAACTATTCATTATAAGAGTAAAGTAATTAGCATAAGTTTCCTAAAAATATGTTGTATGCTTCTTGAATTTTCCATAAACATTTCACAGCCATGTATGCCATTTGTAAATGAATGCTCCAGATAGAGGTTATGTACAAAGTAAGGTCAATTTTTTTTTTCAGGAATACTAATTGTCAAATATACTCCTTGTCAAATTTATGCTTTTTTGGAGCCATTATTAGGTCAGATTTAATTTGCAATTTAAAAAAAAAAAAACTTCTATTCTATAACTCATAATTCCTTTGATCTTTTTATCAACAACAAGAGCTGTCGGTAGGACAGCAACGCTCGACTATTCTTAGTGCTTGATAGTAAAAAAAAATGCTTGATACAGTTACCTCCTCCTGTTTACAGGTTGGGGTAATGATGGTGAACAAGTGTGCAAAGTTTCAAAGCCATATGTCAATGAACTTTGAAAATATTTGAGGTATTACAAAAACTTTAACATAAATTCTAAGTCGAAAAAGGGGCATAATTCTGTCAAAATGCTTGATAGAGTTACCTCCTCCTGTCTACAAGTTGGGGTCATGATGGTGAACAAGTGTGCAAAGTTTCAAAGCCATATGTCAATATGAAAATATTTGAACTATTACAAAAACTTTAACATAAGTGGTTACGCCGACGCAGACGCCGACGCTCGGGTGACTGCAATAGCTCTACTTATTCTTATCGAATAGTCGAGCTAACAATAAAATTATATGAATGCAAACTTACCGTAAAGTCGTCCATTTCATAACCAAACTGTTGATATGATTGGCGATAATCTTAAGATGCCGCTAGTTATTGTTTCATATTGAATATAAAGACCAATTATCCAGTGCACATTCAACAATTCACACCAATTAGTGTCATATTTATCAGCTGATAAAACATACCATGAGGTCAGTGTATTAGACTGTGTTACTGTTTATAACGATATTTTATTTGGAAGGGAAGTAACAAATATAGACCAGTCAATGACCCCACAAAAAGGAGACTGTGCCGCAGTGTTTTGTGATAAGAAGCGGTAAAGCGGAAGTTGTAAATGGAAAACCAAATGTGTACTTTTCCATTCTTAAAATAGCAAATGCTAAATTTAGACTGGATATTCCAAAAGTTATACTTTTCGTAAGTTGGAGCCAATCATGATTTTCTTGAGCCAATTTAATAATTTTGGAGCCAATTTGCTCATTGGCTCCTGCCAGCGCGAGCCCTGATAAGTTATAAACTGCTTTGAAGAATTTTTGTGATGGTGGTTTAGAAGATTAAAGAAGGCACTACACATTAACACATCTAGCTTGAATTACAACCAGATATTATTCTATTCTCAATTTTACTATACAGTCTACAAAACTGTACATTTTGAAATGTTAAGTGTCATGCCGAAATCCAAATAAAATTTATAAAACGAAAGATGGGGGGGGGGGGGGAATGTAATAAGACTTTGATTTTAAACGTCACCCAAAATAAAGTTATAATTTAACAAAATTTATGTTCAAATAAAGATGCAAGCTACATGTATCTAAGAAATTGAACAATGACAGAGTTTGTTTGCAAGTTAACACTTGCTTACTTCCCCTGAAAAAGGCAAGTTTACATAAAACATATTTTCACACCTTCACTTCATTTAAAAAAAATATTATTAAATATCTTGACATAAAAGTTTTGATATAATATAAAAACAAGACTTACTTCTCTTCCTCTCTGTAATAAGAACACCACTCCTGTCAAGGACTTGTTTAAGTTTACCAGTATCCGCTGTGGAATCCCCGGGGGCCAGGACACACTCCTTCGGTCCTAGTTGTACAATCAATGCCTGAAATGGAATAGAATATTATGAGTATGAAATTACTAGCCCAAGAAAAAACTGACACTTTTTTTCACTGTCGTTCTAGTGCTAATTTCAACTAGAGCTGTCATTGATTCAGTGATACATGTACATTTATATCGGATGAAAAATATTAATGATACACTGATAAATCGATAATTGTCCCTTATTTCTTGAATATAATTCACTTTCATACCTGTTTAAATGATTTTAGTAAAATATATGTACATGTTCTGTTCATACAAATATGTTTTGTTCTGTATACTAATGTCCTTTGCATAATTTTTTTCTGACTATTTTTGTTATCACTACTATGAAATGTGTCCATGATGTAACAACAGCTTAATGTTAGACATGGCCACCTGCTTTTATGTTTTGGATGAAATTTCATAATTTATAGACGGTTAAATAATCAATCAAAATTATCTAATTTTCATTAGAAGATGTTTCATGATAAATATCTAAGCTCTTACTCTTTGGGGTTTTTATAAGAAGATTTTTTAAAGTTTTTACTATATACATATAGGAAAAAACAATGTTTCCCTCCCCAATGTCCCCCCCCCCCACCCCCGAGAGGGGCCAATTTCGACCCCAGGGCTTTTATATATACACTAACTAGAAAATATTTCATGCTTAGTTTCTAAACTCTAGCTCTTTTGGTTTTTTAAAAGAAGATTTTTTTAAGTTTTTACTCTATAGAAAATAATGAAAATCAATGATCCTCCCGGGCCGGGCCAATTTTAACCCCAAATGCCAAACATTTAAGCTCTAGCTCTTGTGGTATTTAAAAGAAAATATTTTAAGTTTTACTATATACAAATAAGGAAAATCAATGACCCCCGGGGCGGGGCCAATTTTGACCCAAGTGCTTTTATTTGAACAAACTTGGTAGACAACCACTAGAAGATGTTTCATGCCAAATATTTTAGCTCTAGCTCTTGCGGTTTTCTAAAAGAAGATATTTTAAGTTTTTTCTTTCGGTTGCCATGGCATTTTTTTAAAGTTGACTACCAAACGAACATTCCTGTGAAGTTTGGATGAAATTGTCTAAGTGGTTTATGAGGAGATGTCGTTTAAAGTAAAAGTTTACGGACGGACGCCGGCCGGACGCCGGACGAAAAGCGATCACATAAGCTCACCATGTCACTTTGTGACAGGTGAGCTAAAAATAAATTACAGTTAATCACAAAGAATATTATTTTCTTAAATATATAATGGAAAGATGTTCTAGACTAATTACATGTAACTTCAAAATTTTGGTACAACTGTCATGCTGATCACTGAATGTTTGGTATTTTTCTTATATAATTTCTGAATTTTGTCATATGACCATGATAATTACATATTTTTTTAATGACTGTTTGCACTTTTTTTTTGATGGGTTTTACATCACATCAACACAGTATAGGTCATTGGGCAACTTTCTAGCTTTACTGGTAAAGGAGGCCCTCAGTTGCCCCATTTTGAATTATTTCAGGCACAAATTGGCACCTGGGTAGAACCAGTGATGTTCTGTTAGCTAGCTGGACAGCTTTCTTACATGAAAGAGTTAAACAAAGTTGGCAAGGCTTGAACACACAACAGTGAGAGGCAAGTGGTTTGAAGTCAAAGACCAGAACCTTTAGGGCATGGATGCTATATATATATATAGGTAACGGAGATAAAATATTGTCTTATCTAATCTTCTTTACTTAGTATTCCATAACTCTCACCTCTAGATTTGAAAACTGGTCATTATCCGTGAATTCACTAACTTGAAATTTCCTCAATGTAGCATCTGCATAACCAACTCCTAGCATCTGTGATAACAATATACATTATTATTATTATTATTACTATTATATTATTGAAATGTCTAATTTCTTACATTTACAAAACAGCATAAGTTCACTGAATATGTTAAACACACAGGTCATGTCTAGTTATTTGGGTATACGTTAACTTTGAAGTGATATCCAAAAATTGATCAAAATGATTTTCATTGTTGAAAAGCATTATAAATTTGGTGTTTTTTAAGTTATAAATATTCTTGTAAAATTTGTATTGTACTCTTATAATCAGTATCCTTAAAGGGACTCCACTGAGGTTTTTTGGCATGATAGGACTGAAAATATTGTTTCCAGATAAATGTACCATTTGATGTAGGTTTAAACCAAAAATCTTTGTGCAAAATTTTAGATCATTCGCGCACTTCGTTTTTCCAGAATAATTATTCGAAATGTAAAAAAAATCACCCAAAATGAAAAGCGTTTAAACACTTTTCACTCAAATCGGGCTAAGAAAAGCATGAAAATACAATTTTTATTTCATTTCAAAGTATATTTCTTATCTATCTTCGCATATATTTCTGTTTAAAGTGCCCCAGCTCATTTATGTAAGAAATTCAAACTAGGCTTATAAACCTCAGTGGAGTCCCTTTAAAGCTGCCTTACTTTACAGAAATCTTTCATTCAATAATAGGTAAATACAAGTTAGAAGTTCTTAATTTAAAATAACTATCAAACAAACCAAGAGCTGTCAGTAGAACAACAATCACATGCTTGACTGTTCTCAGTGCTTGATAGTTAAACAAGAGCCTGGATAATGCACAATTTTCAAAAAGATCAAGAAAGGAAATAATTCTGCCAAATCCATGTCTAAGTTATGGGCCTTAGTGACCTCCTAGCATGCTCACTAATAAGTGTGTAAAGTTCAACTTATTCCTTTCAGTAGTTTTTTGAGATACCAATGTGCAAACAAAAGTTTTTGAGATACCAATGTGCAAACAAAAATTTAATCCAAGTGTGACGCCCACACTAATTAAGACACATTGGAACGTACCATAGCTCTCTTTATTCGTAATAGTCAAGCTAAGAAATAAAATCTTTTTTTGAAAACCTCAAAATATGAGGACATGGTAAAATGTATTCAAAGCTACATTTATGACTTAAAGCAATTCTACTGCATAAACAAGAGCTGTCGGTAGGACAGCAACGCTCAACTATTCTTAGTGCTTAATAGTAAAAAAAACTTGATAATGTAAAATTTTCTAAGTTAACAAAAGGGCAAAATTTTTCTTTAAAATCATGTTACAGTTATAGGCCTTGAAGAAAGTCCTATTATGCTCTAAAAGAAGAGTATAAAATTTCAACTTGTTTCAAAGCCAGATGTCAATAGAATATGAAAATATCTGAGGTGGTATGCAACTTCTAAGTCGAAAAAGGGGCATAATTCTGTCAAAATGCTTGATACAGTTACTTCCTGCTGTCTACAGGTTAGGGTCATGCTGGTGAACAACTGTGCAAAGTTTCAAAGCCATATGTCAATGGACTTTGAAAACATTTCAGGTATTACAAAAACTTTAACGAAAATTCTAAGTCGAAAAAGGGGCATAATTCTGTCAAAATGCTTGATACAGTTACCTCCTCCTGTCTACATGTAAGGGTCATGATGGTGAACAAGTGTGCAACGTTTCAAAGCCATATGTCATTGGACTTTGAAAATATTCGAGGTATTACAAAAACTTTAACATAAGTGGTTACGCCGACACTCTGGTGACTACAATAGCTCTACTTATCCTTATCAAATAGTCAAGCTAAAAAGTAAAAAAATCTTATTAAATGCTTGAATTCAACATTTAAACATGTGATCTGCAAGAGAATATACAGATCAACATTTGCCCACAAACAATTAAATATAATGCTACCGAATTTTTAACAGATCTGATACACAAATTTGGGTTCATTATGACTGGGGTAGAAAGTATAAGAAACTATTGCCTATTAACTCACCCTTTGCCCATTCTCGGATGATAATTTTACAGCAATAACCCCAACAGAGTTTGACATGTCAGTGTTTCCAAACAGTATCTCCTCAAACTGTGTCAGGTTGCCTGGAGATGCCTGTAAAAATAATGAAATAAAGCTACAATTTATTCATTTGTAATTATTAAGCATATGCATTTATGTTTGTTTGTTTGTTTTGGGTTTTACGTCACATCGACACAGTATAGGTCATATAGCGACGTTCCAGCTTTACTGGTAGAGGAAGACCTCAGGTGCCCTTCAGTGCATAATTTCAGGCAAGAACGGGTACCTGAGTAGAACCACCGACGTTCCGTAAGCTAGCTGGATAGCTTCCTCACATGTCCTTGCCATATAATGTATGTGTGTAAATTTTGGCTGCTTTTTTTTTGTTTTTTTTTTTACTTTTTTCCTTCTTTTGTCTTTAGGTTTGATTACAGCAAGCAAACACAATTTAGATTATATAGCACCAAAAAAGAAAAGATCATTTTGGCTTACGTTGGATGTTACAAACTTAAAGCAACACTACACGTCAAAACCACCTTACCTGCTGGAGCTTTAAGTTGCATAGACTCCAGTAATTCAAACACATTTAGTTGCCTCGTATGTTTACACAGGTTAAACAGTGGTGACAATTTTGATGCCTCAACCTATTAAGGTAACCCTTGACATGAATTTTAGAAGAATTTTAGTTTTACTAGTTTCAAGACCATCTGCCCACAAAGACTAAATCTATTTCTTTGAAATTTGGATTTACCTATGTTTTCCCTGTATCTTTACTAAACTTGATTTGACATATGTTGAAAAGAACACTTTCATGTAATTAAAACCATTTTTGCACCACTGCTGCAAACAAACTGGTCAATAGAAAACAGGTGTTACATTTTCTTCACTTTTATTTATTATTGTAAATAATATCTCAAGATTACCTTAAATCCAAGACTCCACTCATTATTTTTAGCTCCACCCTTGTTCTTGTACACCTCCACTCTGTACTGTTTCACCAGAAGTAGGTCTCGTACAAAAGACTCAAAATTCATTTTATTGAGTACCACTGATTCAAGCTTCTTTTCCCCTGTAAACACATTTGTTAATTAACAATTTATTTTTCAAATCTAGAAATTACAGCGAATGTCCATGCAATTGTAACCAAATAATTGGTTAAGTAGGGGAGACAAATCTGTTATATGGTTACATGTTCACAATGTATTAGTTACTGCTAATACTTTTATATACTGAACACTTTGTGTAAAGATAAAAATGTAAAATCCATGGTTTCATTGCATTATTATATTATCCATGGGGAAAAATGAGAAATAAGAACAACAACAACAACAAGAGGGCCATGATGGCCCTGAGGTCGCTCACCTGTATATAGGCCCCCCCAACCCCCCACCCCCCAACGTTGCAGGGTCAATTTAACCCAGGGGCTTTTATTTGCACAAACTTGGTAGACACCCATAAGAAGATGTTTCATGCTAAACATCTAAGCTCTAGCTCATTGGGCTTTTTAAAAAAAGATTTTTTTAAAGTTTTTACTATACACATATAGTTAAAAACAATGACACCCCTGGGGCCGGGCCAGTTTTGACCCCAGGGCTATTATTTGAACAAACTTTGTAGACACTTACTAGAGGATGTTTCATGCTTAATATCTAAACTCTAGCTATTTGGGTTTTTTCAAAGAAGATTTTAAGTTTTTGCTATACACATATAAAGAAAAACAATGACCCCCGGGGCGGGGCCAATTTTGACCCCAGGGCTTTTATTTGAACAAACTTTGTAGACACTCACTAAAAGATGTTTGATGCTAAATATCTTAACTCTAGCTATTTGGGTTTTTTCAAAGAAGATTTTTTAAGTTTTTGCTATACACATATAAGGAAAATCAATGACCCCCCGGGGCGGTGCCAATTTTGACCCCAGGGCTTTTATTTGAACAAACTTGGTAGACACCTATTAGAACATGTTTGATGCTAAATATCTTAGCTCTAACTCTTTTGGTTCTTTAAAAGAAGATTTTTTAAGTTTTTACTATATGCATATAGGGAAAATCAATGACCCCCTGGGGCGGGGCCAATTTTGACCCCAGGGCTTTTATTTGAACAAACTTGGTAGACACCCATTAGAACATGTTTGATGCTCAATATCTTAGCCATAGCTCTTTGAGTTCTTTAAAAGAAGATTTTTTAAGTTTTTACTATATGCATATAGGGAAAATCAATGACCCCCCGGGGCGGGGCCAATTTTGACCCCAGGGCTTTTATTTGAACAAACTTGGTAGACACCCATTAGAACATGTTTCATGCTAAATATCTTAGCTCTAGCTCTTTGAGTTCTTTAAAAGAAGATTTTTTAAGTTTTTACTATATGCATATAGGGAAAATCAATGACCCCCCGGGGCGGGGCCAATTTTGACCCCAGGGCTTTTATTTGAACAAACTTGGTAGACACCCATTAGAACATGTTTCATGCTAAATATCTTAGCTCTAGCTCTTTGGGTTCTTTAAAAGAAGATTTTTAAAGTTTTTACTATATGCATATAGGGAAAATCAATGACCCCCCGGGGCGGGGCCAATTTTGACCCGAGGGCTTTTATTTGAACAAACTTGGTAGACCACTTATTAGAACATGTTTCATGCTAAATATCTTAGCTCTAACTCTTTTGGTTCTTTAAAAGAAGATTTTTTAAGTTTTTACTATATGCATATAGGGAAAATCAATGACCCCCTGGGGCGGGGCCAATTTTGACCCCAGGGCTTTTATTTGAACAAACTTGGTAGATACCCATTAGAACATGTTTGATGCTCAATATCTAAGCCATAGCTCTTTGAGTTCTTTAAAAGAAGATTTTTTAAGTTTTTACTATATGCATATAGGGAAAATCAATGACCCCCCGGGGCGGGCCAATTTTGACCCCAGGGCTTTTATTTGAACAAACTTGGTAGACACCCATTAGAACATGATTCATGCTAAATATCTTAGCTCTAGCTCTTTGAGTTCTTTAAAAGAAGATTTTTTAAGTTTTTACTATATGCATATAGGGAAAATCAATGACCCCCTGGGGCGGGGCCAATTTTGACCCCAGGGCTTTTATTTGAACAAACTTGGTAGACACCCATTAGAACATGTTTCATGCTAAATATCTTAGCTCTACCTCTTTGGGTTCTTTAAAAGAAGATTTTTAAAGTTTTTACTATATGCATATAGGGAAAATCAATGACCCCCCGGGGCGGGGCCAATTTTGACCCGAGGGCTTTTATTTGAACAAACTTGGTAGACACTCACTAGAAGATGTTTCATGCCAAATATCTAAGCTCTAGCTCTTATGGTTTTTTAAAAGAAGATATTTAAAGTTTTTTCTTTCGGTTGCCATGGCAACCAGAGTTCTGCATGGAATTAAATTCTTTGAACAATTTTTAAAAGTGACCACCAAAGGAACATTCCTGTGAAGTTTGGATGAAATTGGCTTAGTGGTTTATGAGGAGATGTCATTTAAAGTAAAAGTTTACGGACGGACGACGGACGGACGCCGGACGAAAAGCGATCACAAAAGCTCACCCTGTCACTTTGTGACAGGTGAGCTAAAAACACCTGAAAGTTTAGGAAACAGTCACACTTTGTGTTTAAATTTGACAAAGAACATCATTATCATTCTGTCAATCAGCACAAAGTTTGTATATTAATTTTATATCAACAAATTTTATACACTCACCTGAACCGAGGTATTTGACAACAGCTGATGTCTTAAAAACTTCCTTAGCCACAAATACTGCATCCTGGCCATGAACTGTATAATATTCCTGAGAAAAAAAAAAAAAAAGAGCAAACAGTTGAATATTGTGTACTGCTATATTTGTTGTACATGAATGATATCAACAGGTTTATAACACTTAATTAATGAATGTTTAACAATAGAGAAGTTTGGTTATTGTCAATTTTTTGCTCAAATGCTCACCCACTTTATGCTTTTATGATCAAACTTCATATGAAATGAGAAACAAATTACACAAATTAATATTTGACTTCAGAGGGTAAACAGTGAATGGTTCAACACAAGCTCCAAGCTGGTTAACATGCATTGTTTTGACAATACCAAAGGTCTGTTAGCTATATAGCTTAATTACCCTTTATATAAATATATTAAACAACTTTAGCATTATTGAATATACAAACAGCAGCAGGAATTTTTTTGGCTTATTTTATAGCCGTTATTGGGTCATATTCCCAATTGAAAATAGTATCCCAAACAAAAAAATACATCAACAAATTATATCAAAATTGTGAATAAATCTGGAATAAATCATGTTTTCCTGATTTGTTAATACAATTTGTTCATGATTCATTAAATGAATCATAAATAAATTGTGCTTTTACTGGAAAGTAAAGACCCCATTTATTATAGATTCATTACAAAAGACAGATTTATTAACCATTGATTACAAACATAAGATATATTCAATACAATTTATTGCAATTCATTATACTTGAACTGGAGTGTATACAATTTATTCATGATTTATTGGAAATAGAACTTTTCCCGACTGCATTTAATACCATTTATTACAAATTCATTACACTTTAAAGTTCTGAGATATTCACAAGTTGTTCATGATTCATTAAAATCAGAGATTTTCCAGGATTTATTCAATACAATTCATAACATATTCATTGTACTTCAGATGTTCATAATTTGCTTAATTATAACAGAAATTTTCATTGATGTAGGTCCTTTTGTTTTACTGTTCATAACGACTAAACCCCTAACAACTATACATTTTTTTTTTAAATTTCCCTTTACTCATTACCGTACTTGTTTTTAATCAGTCACTGGAAAATATATATGGGTTTTTCAAGTCTCTTAGTTTAAGCATCACCAATTATTAATTCCATGCTCAGCGCAAAACGTAAAAAAAGAGTCAATTATACAATCTCGTTTTACTGTTAAATACATGTCTAACTAAATTGCATGTAGATTTTATTTTTGAGTGATCAAGATCAGTTTTTTCTTTCTTATTGTTAATACGCAATCTGATCCATACCCACGGCTTTTTATGATTATATCTATCATTATCAGTAAAAAAACTGTCGAATAGATTAACGTATATGCGTAAAAAGGTAAAATGTCGTAAAAAAGCGACTTATAATTCTCTCGGACTTAACATCTGTTGTTAGTTTATTGTTTTGAACAGCATGGCTCCCAGCCGCGCAATTAAACGATAAGATCTTGCAGGGAACTGCAGCCTACCGAGCGCCCCCTATCAGCCGACAACAAAACAAGATTATAATAGGAAACGAAATTTTTTTGCCATTTCAGAAAAAAAGATATCTTACCATACAAACAGTTTTCTTTCTTTTTTGATATGACTAATGGTCAGAAACAAACTAACTTACAACAGGTTTGTCATTGCAGCTGCAAAATTAGGAACTTTATACAATACTATAGTAGCTAGGAATAACATTCGTTTGCATTAATTCTATGCATAGGAAAAAAGGCGGTTATTTTGGAAGATGAAAAACTTGTGGTGTTACACAAAAATATGAATAAAAAAACAATAATCAAGGCATCTAAGACTACTGATAGACGGTAAGTTCAAAATTTTTCTTTTCGTTCTACATAGCGTTTTTTAAAAAAAACCTTCTAGATCTATATCATATGTAAAGTTGACAAAAAAAGAAAATTTACTGGAAGTAATGTCAGATTAGGATAACGATCGATTCGCCGCCATAACGACTCGCCCCATTTTAGTGACGATTCGTCCCACCCTAATGGCACCACCTTAAATTAAACATTTTTTTATTCATTTTGATTTGGATTGAAAAATATTTATTGATACCAAGTTACCAGTTTTAAATTATGCGCGCATTGTAACATGCATTGTTTATGAGGAAAATCTATGTACCAGCCCATTTTAAAAACATAAATCTGCATTGTTTCACACTGAGCTTTATCTGCAAACATTTGATATGCGATGAAAAAATGATGTTCTTTTTTAATTTTAAGTGGGACTGTCAAGAAGACCTATTTTTTCTTTTTACTTAGTTATGCTGCGGGCAGAAAACTGAAAAGAGCAGCAAAGAATTAAAGGACAGAACGTAAAAATCAGCAAAACTCTGATGAGATGGTAAAAAAAGCAGATCGAACGGGAGATAATAAAATGCAGATGGACGGCTTCTTTGATTCATGAAGAGGATTTGCTAATTAGGTTATGGGACGAGGGCATTCAAGGAAATGACATTTATATGAGTCCTTTGAAGGTAAAGTATAGGGCTACAATATATATTAATCATTTTAAAAATGGACAATGTGCTTTTTAAATATTAAGTAAATGATTAAAAATAATACTTCTCAAATCTGAAATTTTTTTTTTTGTTCATGGTACATATAGTAAATTCAATGTCATAGCCTTTCAATTTCGATTTAATTTAATTGAAGCAAATGTAAAAAAACTGGATTTGCTCAAAAATATTTGTATTGCTTCCATCTGGTTGAAAATGAAATCGAACATTCGCGCCGTTTGTTTTATAACAAAATATTTATCTATCATCAGACTTTGTGAAATAGTACTGCTGGTTTTTATTCAATAGAACATGTACAGTCCAAAGTGTCGCTTTAGTGTATTTGGCCTCGAGTTGAAATTCAAATTCAGATTGTATTGCAAATAGAACAAAAAATATTGCATAGTTTTTTTCAAGTGATGTGTCAAGATTTTCAAATTTTGATATTTTTTATAAATAGTGATACTTTTTATGAGAAATTTTCTTTTCTATTTAAGAGTATGCTATTCATTTGCCTCAGTATAGAGATTCAACATAGTAATGATTATAGGAAATAAAAAAGGTGTAGCTAATCCAGACCAGACACCGTGAAAGAGAAGGCAAGATGTTTTCAGACTGACATAAAGCACTAGTTTCTAAAACTAGAATATATTCCTAACAGCAGCACGAATATTGCCAGGATAATATTCCCCTTATTGTGGTTACATCCTGACATTACCTGTTTTATTTTGCAGGGATATTTATGGAAAATGAGCTATGCACGGTACATTATGAGTTTTTGCAATATTTAATGATGTGGTGGCATAGAATTGTTTTCACAATTTTTAATACTTGTATGTTCTTGATTTAATCTAGTCAGGCTTTTGTTTTGTAAAAAATAAAAGAAAAATAATAAAATTTTATCAGTATATGTCTTATTATATTATTATTTTCATATTTTTTCTACCGGAATTGAGCACCATCATTGGAAACCCTGCATTTATTCAAAATCCCCAATGTAGACTGGAATGATAAAGCAGGCAAGCCTGATTTGTTAATCTGATTCATTAATACATTTGAAGTTGTCGGTTTTACGTGGAAGAAGAAAAATAACAAATTTATTAGTGTATCATTAACAACTTTTATCTTGCAATTCCATTAATTGAATCGACAGTTGGTTTCAGCGAACCTAATTATTATTGCCAATTGATTGACCTGATTTTTGATAATTCATTGACATAAGTCAAAGAAATAGGACCATCATTACCCATTTGTTAACATCTGATTATTAACATATTTATAATAAGTTGTAATATGGACCCAATTCATTACCAAATCATGGTTCACTGATTTATTAACATTTATTCATAATGGCAATTGGCTCATTTGCATGTCATTTCTATCTAATAATAAATTGGGAATAAAATGGTTAAATTTGTTTATCAATTTAATTATAGCTGATTCATGTCCTAATCTTTTTTTTTTGTTTGGAATATTATTTTTCCCAAATCCAGCAGAAAAAAATCCCCAATTGAAAGTTACAAAATTAAAAAATATTGAATAAAAATTCTAAAAATCTTTGGAAAAATAAGGGCTTCTTCACCTGTAATACGGTGGCTTAAATGGTTTGAAAAGATGCCATCCTAGACAGTAATGTATTGCATCCATATTAATCACTGTATAATTTCATCCATGAGCATTTTTTCCCCAATTTAATAACAAAAACCCACTGAAATTCCCAATTCCAATGGGTATGGGTCATGTTCCCAAATCCTGGAAAAAATCCCTGAAGCAGTGGCAAAGAATTCAAAACTTAATGGATCAAGTGTGCCAGCAATTTTTCTGTTGTTTTGTTTTGAAATAAGCTGAACATTTACTTTCAAAAAAAATTTTATATTTTTTATCTTTTGCAGTTAAAGTCGATTTTTTTTTTTTTTTTTTCTAAGAAAATTTACATTCTGTCAAAAATCTGGAGTGGGCTTGATTTCTAAAAAGAAAAAACAACAACACAAGAAAATTTTCACAAAAAAAAAAAATGGACACTATTTTACGACTGTTTCTACCACCATTCTAAATAGAAGAGGGCATAAAAAACCCAAAACCAAATACTTCAGTCATTTTTGCAAATTTACAATTCAACCATTCACTTTAAAGGTTAACATGTACAAGTTTACCTTTTTAAAACCCCCTTTTTCATCTCTAACACTAATTGTACATATAGCACTTTTCTTTTTTCTCTTCCATCTATTAAAATTTTGCACATCATTATAAGACTATGTATATAACTGTAGTCATATGTAGTTGATATTGTGCTTTTCTCATACTTAAATTATGTATTAATGCTGCACTGCTTTGCTGCTATAATACTGTGCTTTTCTCATGTTCAAATTATGTATTAAATGTTTTGCCTTGTGCTGCTATTTTACTATATGTACAGCCTACAGGTGTTAATAATTGAAGCTGCATGGCCTAATGGTTAACTAATTGAAGCTGCATGGCCTAATGGTTAACAGGTCAGACTTGTAATCTTAGAATCCCTAT